CCATGAGAGCCAAACTACGACCTTGAGTATATCCTACCTAAATCGAGACCATCTCAAAAATAGAGTTGATGCATTTAACACTAGTGACCGAAGACCATATGAGTTATGGAATAACATCAACGCCACTGTATATGAAGAAAGGAAAAAGTCATTAAAAAGACAGGAAAGAAAGAAAAGACGAAAAGGATCTCAGAAAAGACTCTCAAACTTGTTCTTGAATGTCGAGTAGCTAAAGCAAAAGGAAGAAATGATGAATTAAATTCAAGAACTGAACAGATTTCAAAGGACAGCTAGAGAAAGCGAAGTATTATAATGACGTGTATAGACCTGGAGATGGAAAACCAAAAGGGAAGAACATCCTCTGCATTCCTCAAGCTGAAAGAACTGAAGAAAAAACTCAAGGCTCGAGTCGCAATACTGAAGGATTCTACGGCGAAAATATTAAATGACGCAGGAAGCACCAAAAGAAGATGGAAGGAATACACAGAGTCACTATACCTAAAAGATCTGGTCGATCTTCAGTCATTTCAAGAGGTAGCATATGATCAGGAACCAATGGTGCTAAAGGAAGAAGTCCAAGCTGCACTGAAGGCACTGGCGAAAAACAAGCCTCCAGGAATTGATGGAATACCAACTGAGATGTTTCAACAAACGGATGCAGTGCTGGAAGTGCTCACTAGTCTACGCCAAGAAATTTGGAAGACAGCTACCTGGCCAATCGACTGGGAGAGATCTTTATGCCTATTCCCAAGAAAGGTGATCCAAATGAATGCAAAAATTATAGGACAATATCATTAAAATCACACGCAAGTAAAATTTTGCTGAAGATCATTCAAAAGTGGCTGCAGCAGTATATCAATAGTGAACTGCCAGAAATTCAAGCTGGATTCAGAAGAGGACATGGAACAAGGGATATCGTTGCTGATTGCAGATGGATCCTGGCTGAAAGCAAAGAATACCAGAAAGATGTTTACCTGTACTTCACTGACTATGCAGAGGCATTCAACTGTGTGGATCATAACAAATCATGGATAGCACTGCAAAGAATGGGAATTCCAGAACACTTAATTGTGCCCATGAGGAACCTGTTTATAGATCAAGAGGCAGTCATTCAAAGAGAACAAAGGGATACTATGTGAGTTAAAGGTGTGCATCAGGGTTGTACCCTTTCACCATACTCATTCAATATGTATGCTAAGCAAATAATCCAAGAAGCTGGATGTATAAAGAACGGGGCATCAGGATTGGAGAAAGACTCATTAACAACGTGCATTATGCAAATGACACAACCTTGCTTGCTGAAAGTGAAGAGGACTTGAAGCACTTACTGGTGAAGATCAAAGACCACAGCCTTCAGTATGGATTATACCTCAACATAAAGAAAACAAAAATCCTCACAACTGGACCAACAAGCAATATCATGATAAACGGAGAAAAGATTGAAGTTGTCAAGGATTTCATTTTAAT